GGAGCAGGAGGGAGAAGTCCATGCATGAAGATACAAGGGGGCTTTGGGGGGCCACTTGCATGGTGAAGGGTTGGAGGGGCAGTCGGGATGGAATGGTAGTGGAGTGGCAGGGAAGGGGGGGTTATAATGTTCACGGAGGAGGGGAGGGCCTGCACACTGAAGGGTGAGTGTGGTAGCGGAGAAGGGAATAGCATGCAAAGAGAAGGGGGCCACTGCACGCTGAAGGGGAAGTGAAGTGGTTGGTGGGACAGTCCTGAGCATGAAGAGGGGTTGGGGGCACCCTGAGGAGGAATAGCACAGTGTGGGTGGGGGGTGAGGTGAATTCCTCGCAAGCAGCAGGCAGCATCCATGCCACGTCAAATGACAGAGATGGCACAAATGATGCGGCAAGGAGGGTAGGCATGGCAAGTAGTCTGAAGCCCAACCTGTAGGCAATCATACTGTGTCTCTTCCAGAAAAACTAGTCCGAGTCGAGCAGCACGAGCTGCAAATTCTGACTGATCATTCGAACACCCATGCCGAATCCATGATGTAGACCGCTGCGCAACTCCAAGGACTTCATCAGGAGACAGGTTACGGATCCACCTTAGGTGTTTTTTGTCGGCAGAAGTTGCCTGTGAGCTAAGGAGCATGTCGGCAAGCGTCCGTTCCTCAAATACTCCACGAAGTGCAGGCACCCTATACCTGCGACTAACATCTGCTGCAAGGAGTTCGCGAACAAAGCAACGAAAATATGATCAAACTTAAGTGCCCAGACATGGTGTGTTGTCATGTTCGCTATACGCAACTCCACCCAAAAAAGCACGGCTGTGCCAGACTGTTTTGTCAGACTTTCATCCGGTCATCAGGAGGTTGAACCCAGTCTGGCCAGGATGCATTTCACTGATGGATGAGGACTCGCCACATCATGCAGAGTTAGTGATACACCTGGGAAAAGTGGTTTACTCACTGTTGTGTGTGCGTTTGTCTGTATGAATGAAAAGAGAGACGAGGGGGAGAGAGAGAGGAACAGGGAGAGAGACAGAGACAGAACATGCAAAGAAAAAATAGGTGATAGAAACCAACAGATACACAAACATGGACAAAGGCGTAAAGAGAAAACAGCAACACATGCTTCTGCAAACAGAAGGAGGAAATGAACGGGCAACAATTTCACGTCTTTGTTTTCTCCTTCTTCCCCCTCTGCTTTTCTCCATCTCCCTTCAGCTCACTCACTCATCGGTTTCGCACTTGCCACTGACAAAGTTTAAATAAAAATAAAAAATAAAAATAAAAATAAAAATAAAAATATACGAATTTGGATTTTAACGTGCTTTAAAAAACAATTATTTTTTCTTACAAAACTGGTAAAATAATATTGCCTAGAGAATAATAGATATGCAAATCAACAACTTGATGAGGCTTTTCCATATTACACTGGACTACCAGACCCGCAAAGGCCCGGATGCATGGCCGTGCCGTCAGGCCGACTCACCCGGGTGACCTGGGAAAGTAAAAAATCCGGGCAGTTATTAGTTTTTTTTTATATACTTTTGAAAGAGGGGCTAATTCGCACTCCGCGAAATCTGTCGGAATCCGTGGTGTTTTCAATTTTTGGGTTACTCGAGTTTCCGGCCTTCTGGGGGGTTGGGGGTGGTGCAAGGGTTTCTATTCTATCTAATCACGACCCATCCCGACCCTTCCCCGCCCACACCTATCCCTGCCCATCCCGACCCTATCCCCCCCCAATCCTGACCCATCCCGACCCTTTACCCACCCACGGCTATCCCTGCCCATCCCAACCCATCCCGACCCTTTACCCGCCAACGTCCATCAGCCGGCTTCATCTGGGCCGTCGATCTGCCAGATCAACGCCCCCGGGGGGCTCAATTTCGGGAAAAAGAAACGACGGCCCTCGCAGGCCCTCATTGTTTTTTTCTCGGGCTCATTCTGCAGAACAGGGGTGGGCGAACCCCTACAGGCCGCCAGCAAACGAAAAAAAAATCCGCACTTTTTTTTGTGTGATCTTGGCCCGGTACCAGCCCGGCCTACCTGCCCAGCCGGGCCACCCGGGGATGACCCGTGCCAGCTGAGGCGACCCATGCCGCACGGCCGGTAGCCCAGATATGACACGGATATAAAAAAATAAATTATGCCACGGGTGATGATAGTCGCCTGGTTCTCTGTATTTTATTTTTCATTATGATTCCATCCACCAGGTGTGTGTGTGCCCTGAGCAGTAGAAAATGCAGGCCACCTTTCACCTCCGGCGCTTGGATCCCGCTGCTCCAAAGACATGTGGAACAAGCAATGTTGGACACCGGAGGTGATTGCCGCTTCTGGACACCTGCCACTGCCCTTAAACCACTACCGTCTTCCCCCGAACGTAACGCATGTGTGTTGTATTCGAGTTCAAAAATTTGAAAAAAACATCGAATAGAACCACACCTGCGGCGCATCGCGTGCGCGCAAGCTCTGTACGTGTGGCGCATAGCGCACACACAAGCATGTGCGCGCACATGATGCGGCGCACCCCAATAAATAGGATTAAAAAAAAAAATTCGGAGGGCTGGCTGAGGCAACCAATGGTGCCCCTCCCTTCTAAAAAATTCGGAGGGCACAGGAAAAAAAAATTGGGCCCACGCGGACCGCAGTAGTGCATCTGCAAGGGTCCCAACATCGCAAGAGACGTTCAGCAAATTTCGTGTGAGAGGGGAGCAGGCCAGCAATATATGTTCTGGATCCGAAGTCAGGTCTGCTTTCCAGCAGTTATGGGTTACAAGTTACAACTACTTACTACCGTAGCTCTCTCTTTCTTTTGTTTCGTTTTCCTACGAGCAGTGGCCCTAAGGGGGGCACAAAAGACAAAACATATGGCAGCGTATGGTTCCATGTTCTAGCAGAAGATTCATTCCTCTCTTTATTTTGTTTCCTTTTCGTACGAGCAGTGCTCTAAGGGCCTTGCTCCACTCGTCACCACTTGCACATAAGACAAAACATATGGCGGCGTATGGTTCCATGTTATAGCAGAAGATTTATTCTAGTTTTGCACATTTGGTGAGTAGTGGGGGAAGCCCTGAAAAGCACGTGGTGAGTTGGCCTGCTACTGCCCAGAAACTCGCGTGCTAAGTGGTCCCATAAGTGCTGAAACAAGGACCTTAATGCGAATCAACAGCATATATACTTGGCGTGCCATAAATCTCGCATGGCTATGAGCATTGCCTCGTTCATGGTGAGGAGGCTCGTGCTAATTATCTGGAGGGGCCTCTCGGATAACCCGCAGGGTTTTTCTTATAAATGTTAAAGAGCTATTTGTTTGCTCTCTCTCTCTCTCTCTCTCTCTCTCTCTCTCTCTCTCTCTCTCTCTCTCTCTCTCTCTCTCTCTCTCTCTCGCACGCGCGCGCTCTCACACATCACAGCTGCTTCGTTTTTTTATGTTTTTTTTTTTTTTTTTTTACGCGCATCAGTGACCAGCGCACCGCACCGCAGGTATGAATAGAACGCATATGTGTGTTGTATTCGCATAGAACACACCCTATGTGTAACGCGCACGAGGCTGAGGTAGAGGAGAGAGAGAGGGAGAGAGTGAGAGCACACACACACACTCACTCACTCGACACGACTGAGGGTCGGATGCAGACAGAGGGGCAAGGGCACAAAGTCGAAGTCTTGGATTCCCGAATGCCGAAACAGCAAGTCACACGGAGTACGAGTACAGCAGCTGGAAACTGGTACGAGACTGGTCCCCGTACCGTACCGGGCGCCAGTATAAGTACCGGTGACACGTACGGTACCAGGGGCATTTCTGCAAAGGCCCCCAAGGGCAGAACTGAAAAATGTGATATTCGAAAGTGGTGCCCGAATTGCAGCATGGCGCCAGTTGTCCAAAATCCTACGGTACCAAAGGAGGGTTTTGGAAAAAGGGTGCCAGGACGAAAACGGGATGCAGCCGAAACAGCAAAAAGATAGACCAGGGATTGAGCCCTGGCGGACTCCGTAACACTATGCATTGTATTCGTTTACAACGC